AATTTGCTAAGTCCCCCCTATTATTATGTTATCCTTCTTTTACTCTTTAAAATAAAAAAAAAAAAAAAGAGTAGGCCGGGTCAGGAGCCCCGTTTTCAGCAGTGGAGGCCTGTTGAGGAAAGGACCGAAGCACACAGGGGGCCACCCCACCACCACCCCGCATGGAGAAGTGGCAGACAACAAGAGGACAGAACCACTCTAAAGAACTTAGAGTGCACTTATTCACCATGAAAAAGGACTAGTGTCCATCTAAGTGGATATTAGATGATTTTACCACATGAACTTTTAAAATTGTACAGTGTAAAATGAAAATAAAATGTTTTATCTGGGCATGGTGGTACACGTCTGTAATCCTAGCACTGGGGAGGCTGAGGCAGGAGGATTGGTGTAAGGTGGAGACTAGCCTGGGCTACAAAGTGAGCTCAAGGCCAGACTAAACTGGGTATCAAGACCCTGTATAGGGGCTGCAGTATCACTGGGAGCAGGGCAGCCCTTGGAGGGGCTGCTGGACCCCATCTACCCACGTACCCAGGGGGGCTTCTGAAAGTGGTGCAGATATGCTTCTGTGACTTTGAAGATGTGGCTATTAACTTCACTGTGGAAGAGTGAGCATTGCTAAATCCATCCCAGAAGAAGCTCTACAGAGACGTGATGAGGGAAACTTTTATGCAGATGGCTGCTATAGGAAGAACCTGGAATAATCAGCAGATTGAAGAATACAAAATAGCCAGACAAATCCAAGAAATAAAGAGGTAGAGAAATGCTATCAATATAATGCTTGGAATCACCATGAAGGAATATTCCTTTGGACTGCAGATACTAATGTGAACATGAAACAAACTGGTTTAGAGCCAGCTGAAAACTATACTTGTACAGAATCCTTGATTGGTCATTTATCACTAAATGGTCCCATTAGAGCTCACACTGTACTGAAGCCATGTAAGTTCTTGGGATTTGAAGAGAAGCTGCATAAATGTAATGAAGATGGAAGATTTATGGTGATTTCCAGTCCTTTCAGAAGCATGAAAGGACTACATCTGGAGAAAAACTTTATCACTATGAGTAATGTGAGAAAACCTGCTCTGGAATTTTGAAACAACTCGCCCTAGAGAAAAGAGTGTTGTACATATGAAAAGTACCAAAGCCTCCAGAAAATCCAATGATGTTCAAATCCAAGCAAGAAGTCACACTAGTGAGAAACCTTATGTGTGTAAGCAGTGTGGGAAAGCATTCAGAAGACAAAATCAGTATCAAATACATGAAGGAAGTCACACTGGGGAGAAATCCCTACGTATGCAAGCAATGTGGGCAAGCCTTCAGGAGACAGTCATTGCCAAAGACCTGGAAGAAGTCTCACTGGGGAGAAACCCTGTATATGTCAGCAATGTGGGAAAGTCTTCACTACACACAGTTATTGTCAATTACATGAAAGAATTCACCCTAGGGAGAAACCCTATGTATGTAAGCAATGTGGGAAAGCCTTCAGGAGACACAGTCATTGTCAAAGACATGAAAGAAATCACACTGGGGAGAAATCCTGTGTATGTAAGCAATATGGGAAAACATCCAGGTCACATGCTTATTGTCAAAAACATGAAAAAGCTCATAGTGGGGAGAAACCTTATGTATGTAAGCAGTGTGGGAAAGGCTTTGCTACTAAATCTGCATTTTGTAAACATAAAGTAATTCATACTGAGGGGTAACCCTATGTATATAAGTAATGTGCAGAAACATTCAGCAGACACAGTGTTGAACACATGAAGGAAGTCACACTGGGGAGAAACTCTATGTATGTATGCCTATTTCGAAAATTCCTGTGACTGTTTCTCATACAGTGGAGAAGAGTACAAATAATATGAAAAGTTTGATGTCAATTATTTTCTCATAAATTTCCAGAAAATACCCTCCCAGGTAGAGATACCTTAAAGTATAAATATACTGTATCTTCCAGTAAATCACTTGTAAATCTCGGGATTATATATCTGTAGTGTTCACTGAAAAAAATATTAATTTAACATGATTAAAAAAAAACTCTACCTAAGTCACAAAGATTTGCTCCTATATTTTCTTATAGAATTTTTTTATTTGTCTTTTTGAGACAGGGTCTTGCTATGCAGTTCAGGCTGGCCTTGAGCTCACTTTGTAGCCCAGACTGGCCTCGAACTTGCAACGACCCTCCTGCCTCAGCCTTCTGAGTGTTGGGTTTACAGATGTGCACCATCATGCCCAGCCTCTTATAGAAATTTTATAGTTTTATAAAGGTTTGTGATTCATTTGACTTAATTTTTATAAGGAGTAAAGAACTGCTAAGAGAAAAAAAACCTGACAAATAAAATAAAGCAAGTAATGAATTAAGATAATTTCAGGAGCGTCTACTTTACTATAAAGTTATTTTTTTAAAGCGAGCAAGGCCAAATTTGCGTATTACTAAAGACACACAATCTAGGAATGCTTGAATATGAACAAGCTTTCCTGTAGGTTTCAAGCACTATGTTCTGTGTCTACAATGATTTTTTATTCCTTTGTGCATTGAGAAAAGATTTCTTGAGCACCAGTGACCCGCCTGGCACTGTTCCTTGGTGTTAACAATACAGCCAAAGCTGGGGATGGTGGCCTATGCCTGCAATTCCCATGCTGAGGCAGGAGGATGGCTGAGTTCAGGGCCAGCCATACTGTCTCAAAAACCAACCAAAAAAAAAAAACAATACAGCCAACAAAACAGGAGGACAGAAAAATCCCACAGCCCCAGAGGAAATAGATAACAAGCAACAAGACAGCTTTTTTGGTGGATGGGCCACGGAGAAAAAGACTTTGAAGAAGAGAGAAGAGTGAATGTCTAAAAGGGGGTCTCTGTGAGAGGCCAGAGGTGATCCACAGGAGATGACAGAGGGAGAGCACAGGCCCTGAGGGAGCCCGAGGCTGCCAGAAACTGGAAGCGGGGAGCGGGATGAGCACAAGTTCCCTTCGGGCTCTGTGTTGAGAGGCAGGAAGTGAGGACAGAGGCAAAGAACAGTCAGGAGACTTTGGGCTTTCCAGGGGCTGTGGATGGGAGCCAGCCCTGTGGGTGGGAGGCAGGAGTTACACTCTGGATTTTGACAGTAGGAACAAGGAAACCCTTCCAGAGGGGTACTGAGAGCTTAGCAAGGATGACAGGATGCCAGTATTCTGGGACAAGGCGTCTAAGAGAAATCAAGTTGGTATAGCTTACTGCTACTTAAAAACAAACAAACAAACAAACAATTGCCAAGTGTGGTGGAGCATGCCTGTAATCCCAGCACTTGGAGGCTGAGGCAGGAGGATTGCCTTGAGTTCAAGGCCAGTCTGGGCTACATAGTGAGTTCAAGACCAGCATGAACCACATAGTGAGATCCTGCCTCAAAAAAACAAACAACCCCCTTAACCAAAAAAGGAGCAATTATCACTTAATCCTGTCACATTATCAATTCAGCCAAAACTCAGAAATACTGTATATATCTTTGGATGAAGGAACCTGCTCTGGATAAGGGGCTATCCATAAGCTATGGGGAAACAGGAAATTTTGATTTAAATTACTTCATGATGTGTGGATTCTTTTTTTTTTTTTGAGACAGGCTGGTCTTGAACTCATGACGATCCTCCTGCATCAGCCTCCTGAGTGCTGGGATTACAAGCATGTGCCATACCTGACAAGATTCATGTTTAAAATCAGAAAATATAGTACTTTATTTTTAATTTATTATTTTTGTTTTGTTTTGTTTTTACATTTTTTTTTTGGTACTAGAATCGAACTCAGGACCTTGCACTTGCCAGGCAGGCACTGTGCCACTCAGCTATATCCCTGGCTGCAGTACTTTATAATTAAAAAAAAAAACCAAAACTAGTTAAGAACTTAGAGGAGCCTGATGTAGTGATGCATGCACATAGCCCCAGCTAGTTAGGAGGCTAAACCAGGAGGACTGGTTCAGCTCATGAAACCAAGATCAGCCTAGGGAACAGAGTGAGGCCTCCTGTCTCACAAACAAAATAAAACACAAAATAAAATTTTAAAAAATCTGTTATTTCTTCCAGACAAGTAAGACTTTGTATCAGGTCAGTGTCTCCAGCTATTCTGTCTGGCTTTTGGGGACAGGATCTTGCTATACAGTCCAAGCCAGCCTTGAATTTACCATTCTCCTGTCTCAGCCTCCTGAGTGTTGGGATTACAGGTTACAGGCCAAGTGTCACCTCTCCTGGTCTGGATTGACTTCTTAAAAATCCTATTAGAATCTTACAGCACACATGGTTTTTGCAACTTGTTTTAACTCATGTTTTTCCAGGTATTTTTCTTCAACATTATTCTACTACTGACACTAGAGCAGCCCATCAAATATATTTACCGTAGGTCACTACCAGGTCCGTATTATGAAACTTGTCACCTGTGCCAATATTGTCTGTGCCATAATCCTCTGAGTGTATTCTGGGTGCCCGTGACAGGCATGGAAGGGCAAAGCAGCAGCAGTGGGGACACAGCTCCGAGGAGAAGGACCCACTGCTGACTGAGCCATCTTACACTCCCATAGAGAGAGTGAAGTCGCTCTTAATATGGGCACCTTCCTGGGTCCTTAGTAAAAATCAGCTTCTTTTCTTTCATTACTAAGATTGACCACTTTATTGCACTTACTGGTGTTTGTCTTTTTTCTTTGTGCTGTCTCCTATAAATTGTACTTTTTTGTTTATTATGGTGCTATGGAATTTTATATATGCCAGACAAGCAATCTACCATTAAGCTATACTCCCTAGCTCTGAAAATTTTAGATATCTTAGTACTCTTTAGATGGCAAGAATTCAAGCCCTTTATTTAGCATTGTTTGTTTTTATCTTTTTGAGACAGGGTTTCACTATGTAGTGTAGGCTGGGCTTGAAAGCACCTTTGTAGCCCAGGCTGGCCTCAAACTCACAGTGATCCTCCTGCCTCAGCCTCGTGAGTGCTGAGATTACGTAAGTGCACCACCACACTCGGCTTTAAAGCCCTTTATTATAATTTTTTGTTATTGTTGATTTTTTGAGACAGAATCTTGCTGTGTATCCTAGGCTGGCTTCAAACTCACAGCAATCCTCCTCCCTCAGCCTCCCAAGTGCTGGGATTATATGTGTGTGCTGGGCTAATAAAAATTGTTTGATACTCTGGTTTCTCTTCAGATCGTATCAATCTTTCGTCTTTTACTAAAATTGTTTGAGCTCATTGTAAAGTACATTGTATTTGAAATTTAATTTTTATGTAGTCAATTGTACCTTTTTATGTGGCTTTTACCATATGAAAAAAATTCTTTTTCTTAATATAAACTTGGGGAATTTTCCTTGGGAAAATGTAGATCTTAACGCTTTATCCATGTTTGTTGAAACAAATAGCTAGTCATAAAATCACTTCCTATTAAAGTAACTCAATTATCTCCAAGTTCTAATTTAAGGTATTTCATATATTAATACTTTTAATACCACAATATGAAAATCTCTATCACATCTGCATGATGCTGTTAGCTTTGAAATGCTATGTCATAGAGCTAGGTATGGTGGTACACACCTATAACCCCAGCGCCTGGGAGGTTGAAGCAGGAGGACTGCCAGGAGTTGGAGTCCAGCATAAGTTACACAGTGAGACCCTGTCTCAAACAAAACAAAGAATCACTAAGGTATTCAGGAGATGACAGTAGTCAGCAAGGACAAAGGTGAAGGAGCACATGACTAGCCCCGGGTGCAATCCCGTGCATCCTCCCAGGTAGGCACCTCCCCAGGTGGTCACCTTCAGGGCAGGCAGGCCGAAGCCATCTGTGAGGCGATGTGCTTCCTCTTCTGAGATCTGCTCTTCACTAAGTCCCAGGCCCAGATCCTTAAAAGGCACCACGCAGAGGTAGTTGGTGACATTGTCGCTCTCGGAGTTCAGGGGGTAGGTTAAGTCAGGTTAAGGCAATCAACATGACTCATCAGCACAGCAGAAACACTGCCCTCGCCTGGTCCAGAGTTACATACACTCACCTTGAGCTTGATTTGTTGGGTTTTTTTCTTTGTCTTTTTGAGACAGGGTCTCAATATGCAGTTCAGGCTGGCCTTGAGCTCACTTTGTAGCCCAGGCTGGTCTTGAACTCGCAACAATCCTCCTGCCTCAGCCTCCCAAGTGCTGGGATTACAGGCATGCGCCACCACGCCCGGCTTGAGCTTGAACTTCTACTGAAGATTTTTTTTTTTTTAATTTTAAAACATTCTTTAAAATTAAAAGAATTTTTTGGGGTGGTACCAGGAATCGAACTCAGGGCTTTGCACTTAGCAGGCAGGTGCTTATGTCACTGAAGTATATCCCCACTTTAAGCAGAAATTAATCTTAGACTAATATATTAACAAATGATTCTTGTGAATACAATTTTTTCTCTCAACAGTTAAAAATTCAACACTTCAAGAGTGCCACAATGCTAATGATTTTTTTTTTGAGATAGGGTCTTGCTATTTAGCCCAGGCTGGCCTGACATTCTTAGCGATCCTTCTGCCTCAGCCTCTCAAGCGGTGGGATTATGGGTGTGTGCCATCATGCCCAGGGTCATTGAGTAATTTTTGACATCTACCTTTTGAGGTGGCACTGCATATTTACTGTGTCACAGCTGGACCCTAAGTGGCCATTACCCCCCCCCCCCCCCCGCCTCCACCTGAACACTGCAGCGACCATGCGTGCAAGGAGCACTTGGACTCTTCCGGGGTGTGTGTCAGACCGCCGTGATGTTTCCTCTCTCCCTTGAGCACATCTGTAAGTATCAGTGAAAAATTACCTTTCCCTTTCATTACTTTGTAAAGAATTATATCCACACAGTTCTCAAGACCAGACCATCTCCACATTTCTTGTACTTGTCTCTGGTCATATGATCAGCATCTTCTGATACACCGCTAGGCTAAATTTACAAATATTTTATGGAATCTTTTGTACATTTCTGAGGTTGGTCTACAGTGTTTATTCTTTGTAATATATCACGTTTGGATACTGAGATTATAGTTTTTCATAAATAAAATGATGTGGGGGAGCTTTCTAACCTGTACTATAGGCTGAAATTTATTTTTAAATTATAAAATCAGGCCAGGGATATAGCTCAGCGGCACAAGTGCCTGCCTGGCAAGCGCAAGGTCCCGAGTTCAGTTCCCGGTAGGAAAAATAAATATATCTATATCTATATAATATATATACATCTATATAAAATCATCTGAACCTGGTGACTGAACTTTTTTTCCAATAGTTTTTGAACACACAATGCATTCACCGTATTAGAAATTCATACAGTGAAAGCTGCTTCCCAGCCTTACCCCTCAGTCACCCATTCCCCTGGCGTGTAATCTCAGCACCCAGGAGGCTGAGGCAGGAGGACTGCCAAGGGTTTGTCACCAACCTGGTACACAGTGAGTTCAAGGCCAGCCTGAACTACATAGTGAGACCCCACCTCAAAAAACAAACCGAAAGTGCCTTTTTCCCCACATACTGTGACTTCAATCGTTCTACTGTTGTGTCAAGAACCCTATCACTGCTTCATGGCTGCGCCTTTCCCACTGTCTACATCTGTCCAGGTCCTCTCTTTTTAAGTGCAGTATTTTTTCCATCACACACCCACTCTCCTCAAGTTTTAAAGTTTTTGGGTCAGTGCTGGCTAGCGGCGTTTTGATGAGAAATGAGCGCTTCCCTCCCCTGCCAAGGCGCTGCCACCGAGCTGCGTGTCCCGACCTCTCCTCAGCACTCAGCCGGCGTCGTCCACGTCTGCCCTCACCTCTAACCCCTGTGGGTCTGCTGTCCCAGGAAGGTGTATGTTTCTTGCTTATCGTTTCCAAAAACTGGTCGGTGGATTCTTTCTCATTTTAATTCCTTCAGGTTTCTGTACAGCGCAGTGATGGCAACCTTTTAGAGCCTTCAATGGTAACAAACAGATGGCAGCAGCACGAGTGCCACTGGTTCGACACCCCTCCTCGGGTCTATGACCCTCGGTTTTCCTTCTTATAGTCATCTTAGTATCTGAAAGTCCTACTGCTCACTTTGTATTGATGACCTGTCCAGGAGAAGGCGTGTCACGAGAACAAGGGTCTTGTCTACCTTCCGCACTTAAGGTCCCCACTGTTCAGGAAGGTGGGCGGCACGGGGACCCCTCCTCCCTCGCATCTGCTGTGAGTGAGTCCAGGGAGTGACCACTGCCTGGGGAGGAGGCTGGGCTCGCTCATCCAGTGACTGACGCCCCACCGTGCGCTTGCACTTGCTGTGCATTTGCCTTCCTCCTCCCTCGGCTTCGCCTGCCACTCCCATCCACCTCTGAGGGTGGAGTCCGCTCCCCGAGGGCTCCCTCAAGTCCCCACCCCACAAGCCCAAGGGCAATGTCGCGCTCCGCTGCGGGGCAGCCTGACCACCTGGACTGGCGCTGGAGGGCTGGCTTCTCTACTGCGCACGCTCAAGTCTTTTACACTTTTTTTTCATGTTCAGATGTGAACTTTAATCATAAAAATTGTTTTCTGTAAATATGTCAACCTCTCTATACACAATGTGGTTCAGCTATATACAGATATGACATACATAGATATTAATTGTGCCACAGAACAAGGTCAGGTTGAGAAACATTTATTCTCAGAATAAACCTCAGCTTTTTTCAGGCCTTTAAATTGTCACCACTGAAAGCGAACCACATTGTCTGCAGCATTATTCAGGGAGAAACTTAGGAAGTATCTTTCTGATTTCATCAGAGGTAAAAACTTGAAACAAATGTAGATTCTGTTTCTCTTATTGTTACGATTCTTAGGCTGTGGTATTACTCAAAATAAGGTTTTAGATTGAAGGTGACAGGGAAGCTATACTGACCCTAACTTGGAAAAAAACAGGAAGGTAGGTTTTCCAGGGTTACCATTTCTTCTGGGAAAGGTTTATATAAAGGTCTTTAACACTTGTGCTGGATGTTTTCACTGTCCTCTTACTGCCTAGAATACTTGACCCATAGCAGGGAAATATTCAGGGAGGTGGCAGGATGGACGGATGACTCTTGATGAAGATTAAAATGTTTTCTTTCCATTTTCATAGAGGTAGCATAGCATAGCTATACACACATGCATGCATACACACACACACACACACACACACACACACACAAAATGTTGTAAGTCATAAGTCACAGTCAATACTTTACTCATCACAAGTTGTGTGACCTCGTGCCAGGCAGATAACCTCTACTTTGTTTTCCCATAAAGTGAAGACAAGAAAATCTAGCTAGGGAGGTTTGTGTAGGACATCATCACACAACACACAGCATTCCGGAAACTGTAACACGGAGGTGATCAGTACCACAGCTCCCAACACACTCTCCATTTGCCTGTAATGTAATGCATGTCTGAATTGTTACTAAAACGAAGATCATGTCAACTGCAATTCTTTGGCCAATTGAACCAATAACCTAACTTAGTAAATTCAAGTACAGACTTCCTGTCGTGCAGTCTTTAGTGCTTCCTGAGTGGCAGACACGGTGATCACGCTGCATCCACGAACTCATCTGACCCCAACAACACAATGAAGAAGACTATTATTATCACCATTTTAAAGGTAAAAAGAATAAGCGCAGAGAGGTTAAGCAACTTGCTTAAGGTCACCTAGGCAGTAACTGATAGAGCCAAAATGCGTACTTAAGAGTCTACATTTTGAAAGGGGAAGGAATTTCCTGCTGTCCTTACCATGTCATGACGCAAATTTGCCAAGTGGTCTTTTTTTCAAAAAGGTCAGACCCAGCCAGGTGTGGTGGCGTGAGCAGGCCCAGCACGTGGGAAGCTGAGCAAGAGGATCACCTTGAGTTCAAGGCCAGCCTGTACTACAGTGAGACCCTGTCTCCAAAAAAATAAAATAAAATAAAAATTAGGACGTCCCTTCTTCCTCTGGTCCAAAGATTAAAGTCCCGCTCTTTTCATTTTATGCTTGGACCATTTTTTTCCACCAGTAAAAATGAGTTGCAGCAGCAGAGATTTTCTTCCTGTCTGTTCTTGTCATGCCCTGTGGAATACATTTTCACCTTTAGAAAGGAAATCAGCTTTAAATAGGCAATTTTGCTATATAGTTCACTTTACAGGGTGCCAGTCTAATGTCTCTGCCCAGGACTTCAGAAGCCCTGCTTTTTCTCACACAGACAGAAAAGGATATTTTTTCAGCATGTATAGGGTGGCCAACCTCGATGCTTGGAAGTTGGCGCTCACAGTCCTGTAGACAGCTTTCCGAAGGCCAACGAGCTGCGGACTGGAATGCTGGCTGGCCTTATTAAACGAGCAAGCAGCACTGACCCTGTCAAGCAAACTTGAAAAGTAAAATGTGATACAACTGTACAGGTGTCCTACAATTGTTGTTTCCTAAACCCACAGTTCTATTAAACTTAGAACAAACATTTCTTTCTCATAATTTTCATTAGAAAATGAGTATAAGTATCCCAACTCAAGTGTCATAAATAGCCATTTCCCTCATATCTACGTAGCCACCAGAAAAATAGCAAGCAAAAATTCAAACTCTCAGAGAAAACATTTCCTCCAATACAGAGAAAGAATGAATTTTAGCTGAGATACAACAAAATAGTACAAATATTTACATACGAATTTGCTTTTGTTTGTTCCATAAAGGTACCCTGCCTGCTAAAATACACTCAAGTGGAATTACTTTACAATCAGTTTTCAAAACCTATATTCACTGGATATATGAAGGGCATCACTATCAACATATTCATAATCTTCTCATACATTTATATATGTCCACTAACCATATAATTGGCCACTGTACAGAATAATCCAGTACTTTATAAAAATACATTCTGTACATTCATAAAAGTAGGGCAAAATTACTTACCCACCTGCTGCCACTGGCACTTACCTACTCAAAATGAAGTAGGGGGCGCAGAAAGATAACAGGACCAGTGGCCAACAGGGGAATGCAAGTAGAAAGGCAAAGGGAGGGTTACTGCGTGACAGGAAAGCTACTCTCAAAGCTGTTCAAGAGGCACTTTCTTTAAGATTAACCGGAAGTATCCATTTGCGACAAGATGTGACATGTGTTGTTTTGTAACTGAAAGTATGCAGGATTAAACATTCAGTTATTGGATGATACTTTTTTCATTTAACCAGTAACTTCCAGTAGCAGAACAACATCAGCATGTACAAATGAACTGCACTATAACTCACACTCAAACTTGTGAGAAAGACCTAACTCAAGACTTAACACCAAACCAAATTAAAATCAGTGGATAGTAACTATCACGCATATTTTTAAATTAAGAGGATGTAGGCAAAGACAAAAACAGCACTCATGACTTCAATGTATGTCACTATTGTTTATGTTCTAGTAAATCAGTTTCACAAACAGAAAGTATTTCTAAAACTTATGGTTCAAGTTCTATTATTCCTCCTCATTGTTCCAATCCATTGTCCAGTGGGATGGAGACAAATGAAGCAAGATTTCCTCCAATATTTCTTCTGCCTCTGCCATCTGAATGGGTAGAAAAGCATAATCTGGAGGTAGATTGTGTGTAAGTGGCCCACTTTACCTTGTAATGCCAACTCTACAGATGTGGGAGAAGCTGGAAGGTGACAAACGGCACAGACCCCTCACATGTGCCTAAGTACTAGGCGGGTACACAGCCACTCAGCTAGCTACGGAGGCCACGAAGACAATGCTGTGCAGTTTAAGAATGGAAGGGAGACAGTGCCTAAAATAAATCTGGTTTTTAAAGTTTAAAGAACCATTTAAAATTTGCTATCGTTTACCAAGTAGGGGTCTTAACCTAATGGAGAGACACTAGTAAGAGATTCTGAGGATGGTCACTTTGAGTTGAGCAGAATGAGGTATAAAGTCCCGCTGTCTGGGGATGATTTAAGTAGGACTGTTGTGAGAATACAACCGAGTGACTCTCCATTCTCTGTCCCACAGTTTCCCCAATGCAGTTTTTATGTCCAGACTGTTTACGTGCTATTCTAGAGCACAGCAGAGCCAAGGATGCACACTGGCAGAGGGTTTTCTCCCCCACTTTTCCTGATCTTCCACATACAACTAATTAAAAGCAGTGATTCTTCTTCACTATATATGTACGTCCTCCTACCTATAGATTGCAATGGTTAGATAAGTTATGTAAGTTATTGAATAGTCTGGTCCAACTACCATTTGTGAGCATTTAGCTTTGTACCAGAAACAGGCTTTACAAGTCCAAGGAATGGATGTGGGTATTTACCCTAGCATTCATGATTGTAGACTTCAGTTGTAGCCAACAGTGACTAGAATTGAAGAAGGAACATAGTTGGTGCTCAATAAGTGACTTTCCTTTAAAAAAAAAGGGGGGGGGGAGTAGCTAATAGAGCCTGCAGCTCACTTAAAGTTGTACTGCTGAATATTTAGTTTCCTAAGGGAATAAAAAATAACACTATCTGCATAATATTCTGAAAGTACCAGTACCATAGTACCTGCTAATGTTCACCTATAGAGTATTATAATATTATTATTATTATTATTATTATTTTGCTTTTTGAGACAGTGTCTCCCTATGCAGTTCAGGCTGGACTTGAAGTCACTATGTAGCCCAGGCTGGCATTTAACTTGTGGTGATCCTCCTGTCTCAGCCTCCCGAGCGCTGGGATTATAGGCATGTGCCACTACACCCGGCTCTACAGAGTTATTAACACATGTTGAGAAGTCCAAAAGTGTACTCATGTCAGACACATCTGTCACTTACACTACAGAAAGAGGGTATTTGGTAGGCGATAAAGGGGACAGACACTTTCTCAGTTCCTCATGCACACTGGCCTCAGGGTTATGTGCGCACCCTATTATCGCATGCAATCACATGGTAATAGGCCCAAACACTCATGATCCTCAAGATACTTCGTTTCTCAAAGTAGAGAAGCAAAATGGTATTCCATATTAAATCTAGCATGGAATGTCTTTATCCCTTCAATGAACAGTTCACTGACTACAATGAGTTATAAAGGGTAATCTACCTTTTTCCTGTAAATACAACACAAAAATGAAAACAGGCAGTAAATAGTCTCCTTAAACTATATAGTAGAAAAGAATCATTTTAAAAATAAAGTGAAAATTGAACTCACAGTGTAAATCCTCTGGAAATCACTTCAGTTTCTTGAATGAGACGTAAAGCTTTTCTCACAAGGTTGGTAAACGCACGACTGTTTGTGGCCATGTCTTCCAAACGGACATGATATTTTTTTAGGGTCATTTGTAGTCTGGCTGTCCTCAAAAATCTCAAAGCTCGTGTGACCAAATAAATACACAGACTCACTCCCCACACCAGCCAGGAAGAGACAATCCACCACGTGGGAAGCATAATGAGCAAACTAATGAAGGCAAACAGCACTGAGACATCCCTAGAGAACCAAGAAAATGGTGTCCATCAGACAAGCAAGATGGTACTTTAATCCTAAAAGCAATCGTAAATTGAGGTCTACAGAATAGATAAGATGCTAGACCTACCGCGAAGCATGACCTTAAAAAAAAAAGAAAATGACTTGTTTCGCTAAGTTTCTAGGCTAGCCTTAAATCTGTAATCCCCCTACCTCAGCCTCCTGTGTGCCACCATGCCTGGCAAACTCTTATATTCTTTAAGGACAAAGTGCTGAAAAATTTCCTCGTAAGGATGTTTGGGTGACTAAAGAACTGGAAGACACTGAGCTCGGGCGTCGGCTACCACAGGAGGGAGGTCAGTGTGCTGGGAACGTGATGGGCAGTGGCTGTAAATGCTTCTGTGCTGAAGCAGCGGCACAGCGACTCTCGTGCTCCTGGACTCGCTCTCCTCTCTCCAGCAAGCGTAGCAAACCACAGAAACGAGCACCAACAGCTCTTGCTACAACCTCTTCTCACGATCCACTCTTTTTCTTTTTTGTAAACAAACTATGGCCCAGGACTTCTGCATTAGACCCAAGTGCTTCAAGTGGCTAAAAGTTTCAGGATAATTTTTGTTTCATCTGTTGGTTTTCTTTTTTTGAAATAGGGTCTCACTATGTTGCCCAAGCTGGCCCCTAACTCCTGGGCTCCTCTGAACTTCCTGTCTCACCCTCCCAAATAAATTTTAGGATAGTTTAAACTATCAAATTATGTTGCCTATCTTCTCAGTCAAACAGCAACAATTCACTGTTTATCTCTATGTCCCACCCCATCCTTAGAGTCTCTATGATGCGACTGACATAACCTGTTGTTTATAAAGAAACATCAACAACAGGTTGTATAGATGTACAGATAAGAGAGATTTCTTTCGGCACATTTATACATTTTTGTTGGGTTGGTAAGAACAGAACTAATTTTACTGAATTGGAAGCATGTAATAATCAAATTGGATTTTTTTTCTCCAAGCTTCACTGTAGAGCATTTACTTTAGATAAGCAGTTTTTGGGGCTGGGGATTTAGCTCAGCAGCACAGCGCCTGCCTGGCAAGAGCAAGGTCGTGAGTTCAATTCCCGGTACCAGGAAAAAAAAAAAAATTAAAAAAAAAAAAGATAAGCAGTTTTTGCCACTGACGTAGCCAGACATTCATTATGATGCTAAGTGTATGAATGTTTATAATGCCCATACAATGGGGAGCACGGGCACGGATTTCCTCCATGAATACCCTGTATGTAAGCAGTTGAAGAGTAGATGCTTTCTGGACAGTACCAAATATTAGGGGTTGCCAAGGAGCAGAGCGTTGGAAGGTGTCCATGTTCCTGCTGGTGAGCTTGCCCTGCAGACAGGATACTGGGATCAAGCAGCTCGATTAGCTCCACATCCTCTTGTACCAGAACTTCCTGTTGCAGGATGGTATGTAGTGAGTCGAGTCGAAATCCAGTATCCTTGCCATTAAAATACAGGAAGACAGGTATTAATGCATACACAAAATTTTATTAAATGCTCCCCATCAAGCTTCCAATATATAAGGCAGTTTAGGGGTGTGTGCTTTCAGTCCGGACTCTAAGAAAAAATACCAGTCCAATCTATTTTTAATATGTTAGATGGGGCTTATTTTCACTATAAATGTGAAATAATAAAGATCATGCTAGACATTATTAAGTTACCAGATGTGAAATATAAAGTTTTAGTAATGAGATATAAAGTAATTACAGGTTAATAAACCTATCCACTTAAATCTACTTAATTAAATAGCTGGTATACAGGGGCTGGGGATTTAGCTCAGCGGCAAAAGCGCCTGCCTGGCAAGCACAAGGTCGTGAGTTCGGTTCCCGGTACCAGAGAAAAACCAAAAAAA